GTTTTAGGAACAAACAGCATGCCGATTGGAGTTTCGGTTTGAAAATTAGAAACAGATTTGTAAAACTTAAGACTTATGAATGAAAATGCCCCGTTTGAGATCGAAATTAATTAATCATTGAATGACCCAAAGATAGGCACGAGAACCTCATTCGAGTATAAACAAACTTTTTAGAGTAGGAATACTCCAGTAGGCGTCACTGTTTTAAGACTAAGTTTTTTATAAAATCTTAATAACATTTTAATATTGCATAGAAACACTTCAATATGGAACATAGTTCGGAGAGTAACAGAGGATTTCGTTTTGTGTATTTGGTTACATTTTGATATAGGTTTCTATAATGGATTTGTGGCTTGGATGTTTCAAATTTTATACGTAAGAGATTTTCACTTGGGTTGGATATATTTCATTGGTTATCCAGACAAGTCTAAAGGGTACAAATTTTATTGTCCTAATCACAGTACGAGGATAGTGGAGGCTGGTAATGCTAGATTCCTAGAGAATGGTGAAATCAGTGGGAGTGAGAAAACACGAGTGGTGAATTTTGAGGAAATTAGGGTAGATGTGCCAACATTTGACCCTTATCGAAAAGTTTTTGTTCCTCAGACTATTCCACAGGCTGAGGGAAACGAACAACATAATGAAAATCCTTCGCCATCTCATGTTTCACCACTTCATGAAGATACCACCATTGAAAATATTGTAGAACCACCACAACCGGCAGTTCTGAGAAGATCTCAGAGGGAAAGAAAGCCTGCCATTCCAGATGATTACATGGTGTATCAATAGGAATCTGATTTTGATATTGGGATTAACAAAGATCCAGTCTCATTTTCACAAGTCATGAATAGTGATGATTCTTCTAAATGGGTAAATGCTATAAATGAAGAGTTAAAATCCATGGAACAGAATAGTGTTTGGGATCTCGTCGAATTGCCTAATAACTGCAAAAAGGTCGGGTGTAAATGGGTCTTCAAGACCAAGCGTGATGCAAAAGGCAATATCGAACGATTTAAAGCCAGACTTGTTGCCAAAGGTTTTACTCAAAAAGAAGGCATAGACTATACAGAGACCTTCTCTCCAGTATCTAAGAAGGACTCGCTTAGAATTATCCTAGCATTGGTAGCTCATTATGACTTAGAGTTGCATCAAATGGATGTGAAAACTGTTTTTCTAAATGGGAATTTGGATGAAGAAATTTATATAGAGCAGCCAGAAGGATTTGCAAAGAAAGGTAAAGAACATTTAGCTTGCAAATTAAATAAATCCATATACGGCCTTAAACAAGCTTCCAAGCAATGGTATTTAAGGTTTAATGATACCATTATCTCTTTCGGATTACAGGAAAATGCAGTTGATCAGTGTATATATCTGAAGGTTAGTGGGAGCAAGTTTATTATTTTGGTGCTATATGTAGATGATATTTTGTTAGCTAGTAATGACCTTGGCTTATTACATGAAACCAAGGAATATCTCTCCAAAAAAAAAAAAAAAACTTTAAAATGGTTGATATGGGTGAGGCAAACTATGTTTTTGGCATAGAAATCTTTAGGGATCGATCTCGAGGATTGCTAGGACTATCACAGAAAGGATATATTGATCTTGTTTTGGAGAGATTCAATATGCAGTTTTGTTCAGCCGGTGATGCACCCATGATGAAGGGTGATAAATTAAGTGAAAAACAGTGTCTAAGGAATGACTTGAAAAGAAAACAAATAAAGGACATTCCATATGCTTTGAGGCTAAAAATCATGCTTTATGGTTGCAAAATTTCATCTCAGGACTTGGTGTTGTTGACTCAATTGTCAGGCCACTGAAGATATATTGTGACAATACCGCAACAGTTTTCTTCTCTAAGTATGGAAAGTACTCCAGTAGTTCTAAACACATGGAAGTAAAGTACTTAGTTGTTAGAGAAAGAGTCTAGAAACAACAAGTGTTAATTGAAAACTTAAGCACCTCTCTTATGATTGCTGATCCATTCACAAAGGGATTGCCACTAAAGACATACAAAGAGCATGTTATCAGGCTGGGTCTTTTAAGCAACCCTTGATGTGTATGGTTAATCGTGAGTGCTTATTTTAATTTGACACTATTTGCGCAATAATAATTTTGTTTCTGTTTTTCCTGTTTCTAAAAGTGTGTGTACACATTATTTTGAATATTGATAAACAGGAAATGTCTTAACAAGACAAATTACAGGGGCCTTTCAGGCAAATAATTATATGTCCCAATAAAAGGACTGGGTTGGTGAAGGTTATCAATGGAGTGGTGCATAGAAGGAAATATGACATAAATGTTATATAGCCGCTATGACTCACATTGGTGATCTGAAGTAATCACAGTATTATAGTTTTTAATATATCTGAACTTATTGGCTATTTTTTAAAAATTCGTGATCACATGTCAAAGTTTTTAGTGTGGAATCTAATGAGTCAAATTTTTTTTTTTAAGTTGCATACTTTTGAAAAAACTCATAATTGCATCATAATCGGCTTAATGGGCCAAGTGGGAGAATGTTGGATTTATTTTTTTAGTGTGGCCCAATAGCCTACATATTTTCTACATGTTTTAATTTATTTGGACTCCACAAATAGATAAAGCCAATATTTGAGATCAAGTTCAGTAAATAGAATTTTAATATAATCACTCTTCTAAGATAAGAAGGAAACCTTGATGGATTAGAAATTCTTCTGATAGAGTTTATCTGGCTCTCTTCTCTCATCTATATAAGGATGGGTGACTCCCCTTTCATATCATGAGTATTATTCCATCACTCTAAGTTTTATAGTCAACCTAATAAAGTGAGAGACAGAAAGAAGAAGGTTAGGGGTATTTTCTCAACTTCTCTAATTCAATGGCTGACAAAGGTATATTCGTTTTATTCTTGAGTTGTATTGAATTCAAGATCCTGTAAAACACATTATTTTGAATATTGATAAACAGGAAATGTCTTAACAAGACAAATTACAGGGGCCTTTCAGGCAAATAATTATATATCCCAATAAAGGACTGGGTTGGTGAAGGTTATCAATGGTGTGGTGCATAGAAGGAAATATGACATAAATGTTATATAACCGCTATGACTCACATTGGTGATCTGAAGTAATCACAGTATTATAGTTTCTAATATATCTGAACTTATTGGCTATTTTTTAAAATTTGTGATCACATGTCAAAGTTTTTAGTGTGGAATCCAATGAGTCAAAATTTTTTAAGTTGCATATTTTTGAAAAAAAAAACTCATAATTGCATCATAATCGGCTTAATGGGCCAAGTGGGAGAATGTTGGATTTATTTTTTTAGTGTGGCCCAATAGCCTACATATTTTCTACATGTTTTAATTTATTTGGACTCCACAAATAGATAAAGCCAATATTTGAGATCAAGTTCAGTAAATAGAATTTTAATATAATCACTCTTCTAAGATAAGAAGGAAACCTTGATGGATTAAGAATTCTTCTGATAGAGTTTATCTGACTCTCTTCTCTCCTTTATATAAGGATGGGTGACTCCCCTTTCATATCATGAGTATTATTTCATCACTCTAAGTTTTATAGTCATCCTAATAAAGTGAGAGACAGAGAGAAGAAGGTGAGCCAAGAATTAAAGGTTCAACTATTAGGGGTGTTTTCTCAACTTCTCTAATTCAATGGCTGAGCCAAGAATTAAAGGTTCAACTATTAAGGGTGTTTTCTCAACTTCTCTAATTCAATGGCTGACAAAGGTATATTCGTTTTATTCTTGAGTTGTATTGAATTCAAGATCCTGTAAAGTTTAATTTCACATTATTATTATGGTTACATGTATTATTAAATCTTACAGCTATGCCATTTTACCCATCTGACAAGGACTGAATATTTCTTACCTCCTGTCCTCTAATATTTTGAAAGCAATTTTCGAACATAAATACCCCCTCCGTTATTGTTGCACACATCCAGCAACAACTTTCATTTTTGGAATTGTTTCCAAAACATAAAAGTTCATCAACTTTTTATGTAAATCTATAATTTTAATAAAAATGGTATTTCTTAAATCTTCACATTGAATCAATGAAAGTCTCGTGATGAGTGTGAAGGGGAAAAAAAATAAAAATTCAGTGTTTATTATTATTAAAATAGTAAAATTTCGTTGATGAATAAAAATTGCAAAACGGGATGCCAATCTTCTCATTGAAATTTTATTTATTAAAACACAACAAATCACTATGTCAAAATAGAGAAATATCTCAGTTTATTTTTTAAAAATATAGTATTGCCTGTTTTTCAGAGATAAATATAATAAATAAAACATTATAATTATGGGAAAATCGGTCTAAGGTCCCTATCCAACTTTTAGTAATAGATTAGGTCCACAGAGATAAATATAATAAATAAAACATTATAATTATTGAATCAATTTAAATTATTTTTATAAATAATATACATTTAATATCTTACAAAATAAAACATTTAAATTATCAAAATATGAACTATAATAAATCCTTAAATTCTCTCAAATTCATCTAAACATAAGATAAGCTCAGCCATATTCAATCGCTCCTCGACTTCTTTCAAACAAACACCCCAACTCCATGTGTATCTCATGGTTAATACAACCTTTCAAAAAAAAAAATTTAAAATATATTTGGATATGTTTATCACGAGGTCTCAAAAAAAAAAACACAAAAACACAAAAAGTTGTTTTATGTATTTTTTTTTTATTTAAAAAAATGTATAAGCTCCGTTTGGGAATATGAATTTGAGATTTTTTTTTTTTTTTTGACTATTTTAGCTATAAAAGATAAAATAGATTATTTTAATCACAAAAAATAAAATATCACATATAACCCATAATCATTATACTCTTCTCTCACAAAAAAAAAACTAAAGTCAAAAAGTCAAAAAATTCTTCCCAAACTAAACTTTTTAACTTAAACTAAAATAGTAAAAAAAATAAAAAACCAACCCACTTGGGCTTTTTTTGGTCTCCAAAAAGTTTGAAGAAAAAATAAGAAACAAACACAGCCTTAATTTGTGCCACGCGTCCATTCAAGTCCCAGTCACCACACACGCACCACACACACACAGCCTCTGCAATTGTTTGCAACAATGGCGATGACCACCACTCCTCTCTATTTTGCCTCTCCGATTCCAAAACAAAGCAACTCTACAAATCCACACACCTTTTCTTCTCTCTCTTCTCGCATCTCCATCGCCAAACGCTCGTCTCTCTCTGTCCGATCACCGCCGCAGCCGGCGGCGGCGGTAGTGGTGGCTGAAACCGCGAGTGCAGTTGTGGAAGCTGAGCCGAAGAAGACCGACGCTTCTCCGCCCAATTCTCTGCCTTTCCGAGTCGGGCATGGCTTCGATCTCCACAGATTGGAACCTGGATACCCTCTCATCATCGGCGGCATCGATATCCCCCACGATCGAGGCTGCGAGGCTCACTCTGATGGTGAGATTCATTCTCAGATTTGCTTTGATTAAATAAATAGTTTCATCTACAATCCTTGCCCTTTGTGTTTTTGTTTTTGTTTTATCAAATTTGAGTGAAAATTTGGTTAAATGCTTGTTCTGCTATGCAATACTCCAATCCTTACTCTTGTATTTTCATTAAATCTTTTTGAAAATTTCTAAACTTATCCTAAAACCTTGTTTTAAACATTTTTTGATGAAATAAAATCTCTCTCCAATCCCTACTCTTTTTAAAATTTCATCAAATTTGGGTAAAAATATGAGTTTTGGAAATTTGGTGAAAGGATTTGGTTCAACCTTGATTTGGTGAATTTTTTAACTCTTCCTTGATTTGATACAAGTTTGATGAAATGATTGGAGCTCACTTTTTTCCTTTTTAATCGTCAAATTTGTATTTGATAGAAGAATTATGTATGTATATGGGTTGAAAGCCTAATATTTTTGTGGTTAATTTGGGGTTTCAGGTGATGTGTTGCTTCACTGTGTTGTTGATGCAATCTTGGGTGCTTTAGGGCTTCCCGACATTGGGCAGATCTTTCCCGACTCCGATCCCAAGTGGAAAGGTGCCGCATCATCGGTTTTCATTGAAGAAGCTGTGAGTTTTATTAACTAAGTTCAATGCTTTTGATTATCTGATGCTTTTCCCATTTACATTTGCTTTAGTTTAATTTTGGGTCCTTTGAGAAATAACAGTTGTTGCTTTTGTCTACTTTGCTTTCTTCTTGTGGTTTTTGAAATTACAAGCAATGCATGAGTTGTATCTCAGAAAAGAATCACCGGAAAAGAAGAAGCTTAAGTCATAAGCCATTTGTTAGCCAAAGAAGTAAATGAATTTGTTTGGATGTTTTTTGAATTTACTTTGGTAATTAATCTTTGAGGAGTGATGGAGACCCCCTTCACTCACCACCCCACACACATGTGGCAGGTGGTAATTGGAGGACAAGGGAAACAAAAAAAAAAAAAGAAAAAGAAAATCCAACCAATGAGAGAGAGAGGGGGTCAAAAGGGGTGGGAAAAAAAGAGGGTCTTAGACATTTTTGTTAATCTTTATGGTGTTTGATTTCATCCGAAAGGTAATTGTTTGCTAAAACCTAAATGGTGAAAAAAACTAAAATTCCCGATATATTGATTTGTGATTATTTATCAATTTTAACCAGTAAATAGCAATTCCAATCAAACAATCAAAAACAAATTGACACAATGATTTTAACGTGAAAAAATCACAATTAGAGTATTTCCAATTGTGAAAAAAAATCAGAGGCCAAAGTCACAAAATAATCTACTAAGAAGACAAAAAAGAATTACATAAGAAGATAAAAAACCACATGCTCAAATTGAACCGACCTCAATGTACCTTTTTCACCATCGTATTCATCTCGGAATTGTCTTGTTCAACGTTGAATCCATAACGCTGATGTCGAATCTACGACGATGAGTCATTTCGGAAACCACAAAAACTTCAGTCCCAAATTTCACGGAATCTACCGAAAAACAACTCTCTCTTTTATGAATAAAACAAAATAAACAAATCCCATTGATATAATCCACTCAATTCATGATATAAATTCTCACAGATATCAAAGGAAACAAGTAAAGAAGCTCCAAATGAAAATCCTAAGACCCAAGAAGAAGATCTAGAAATTGTACTCTAGAAACTGAATTAATTGCAGATTTATAGAAAACAGAATCGCGATCTCCACTCGAGCGCAGGAATGGACGTTCGAGCGGTCTGACTAAAACTCGTGTTTCAGAAGAAAGATCTACGCTCGAGCATAAAAATGCAACTCCTTGTACTTTTGCAGGTGAGTGAAACTTATGAAAGGATTGCATCTTCGCTCGAGCGCACAATCGGCCGCTTGAGCGAACAAACAACTTCGACTACAATTTTGCCTTTTGCTTCGGGAGTACACAATCCCCGACATAGTCAACGAAGTGGCAAACATAATAGAATTAAGATGACAAATTCCTCTGCATAGGCACAATTCGGGTTGGATTCACATCGAAATACTTTTAGTATCACTGAAATAAAAGATCGAATAAAATTACAATTGAAAGGAATTTTGTCGAACGGGACTGTCAATTTAACAGAGGGATTTGAATGTGATATTGCTGATGGGGCTATGGCAGATTGAGTTGAAATTAGATGAGAGGGATGCGAGGTATGAGGAACTGATAAGAGAGACGTTAAAGATGCATATGGAAATTGAGAAGGAAAGAGAACAAGAATGTTGTGCAGTTATACTGATCCTGATCTTTTAGCCAGGTTATTAGAGAACGTGGCATGAACTTAAGTTCAGTAGTTACACGATGTAAAATATAGGGTTAATTACACTTTACACTCACTAAGTATCACTTTATCTCCAACAACTTTAAAATTGTACATTTGAACCCCTCAACTATAAACATTGCTACCATAAAATATGTTAAGCAACTATTCTTCAGCTGATTGCTGTACAACTTGGATTGTGAAGTTGTCAAACAAAATGAAGATAAACGTGTGTCTGTCTTGGAGGACAATGTTTAACCAAACAATTTTGATTTGGGACTCCTAGTTGTCAGAACAGGGGGCCACTGGTTCAATGGTTAAAACTCAGCTTGTCAACCTTGAGGTTGTAGGTTCAAAGGTGGGAATGAAAAAGGAAACTGGAAGCTCTAATTGAGTGTAGGCATGAGAATTACAGACTGCAGAATGAGTGAAATTTAACTAGTAATCTTGTCCAAATCTTCAACTGTAGTTTTCAGGCCTCGTTTGGGAATAAGCTAATTTAACAACTTTTTGGCTATTTGGCTAAAATATGAGCTAAAAAAAATTAGTATGTTTGGGATGACTTTTTGACTTTTTACGAAAAGATGTGCAAAAAGTAGAGAAAAAAGAAAATCTTTGACTTTTTGGTATGGGTTGTTGGCTTTTTGGCTTTTTTAGTACCTTTTTGGCTTTTTGGCTAAATGGGAGGGTTCCCAAACGAGGCCTCAGTCTCTAACTTGTGATCAATATCAATATGACTAAGGCTTCGTTTGGAAAGTGGGTTGGCTTTTTGGCTATTTTAGCTTGGGCTAAAAAACTTGGTTTGGGAAGGGTTTTTTGGCGTTTTTGGCTTTTTTTGTGAGATAAGAGTGTAATGATTATGGGTTTGATGTAATGTTTTGTTTTTTGTGGCTAAAATAGCCTATTTTGTCTTTTGTGGCTAAAATATCCAAAAAAGCCCCAAATCCATCTTCTGAAACAGAGCCTAAGTGAAGTTAGTTTTCAATGTTTTTGCTTCATGTGATTTTCATTAAAGTAAATAAATAAATAAATAAAAATCTTTGACAGATTGGTTTGGCAACCAAAATGTACAATGAAGTAGATAAAAAAAAATGAAGATAATGTGTCATGAGGTGGTAGATAAAAAAACTTGTTAAATGGACCTGCTATTGGGAATTTGGTTCTTCCTTGAACTTCATGTCTTGAATACTCAATATGATGCATTGTCACATAGAATTTTTCAAGTTTGTTGATTCTGAGATTGTCCCTGCTTTTCAATGTGGTAATGGGTATTTCATTCATCATCTTTTGAACATGTGGGAGTAGTTAATACAATTCAATAATTCTATTCTGTTCAGTTTCTTACTTGATTATATTTGCTATCAAACTTGCTCATTCTCTGCAATGTGGGTCATATCAGGTAAGACTGATGCACGAAGCAGGTTATGAGCTAGGAAACTTAGATGCGACTTTGATTCTTCAGAGGCCAAAGCTGAGCCCGCATAAGGAGGCTATCAGGGCCAATTTGTCTAAGCTGCTTGGTGCAGACTCCTCTGTTGTAAACTTGAAAGCAAAAACTCATGAGAAGGTCGACAGTCTTGGGGAAAATAGGAGTATTGCAGCACATACTGTTGTTCTTCTTATGAGGAAGTAGAAAAGGGACCATTCCAAATTTGAATCTCTGGAGTGTGAAAATTATATTTTCTCATTATTGTATACAGCTTACAAGGATTCCACACTTTTTTATTTCTTACAGTTGACAATCTATAGCATGCGTTGGATATTTTAATGGGCTCCCAATCCTGTCTGTATTCAAAAGTTGAAATGTAGTATTTTGGAGTTGGAATCTACTTCTCCATCTTTGTGCACGCTTTGTGCCTGTGAGCATGTATATGTATAACAGTCAATGAAGCTGTTCGATCTGATAATTTGTTTGCAAGTTGTATTGTGAAAGCGCATGAGTGTCTATCAGTATGATGGTGAATGAAGTTGTGTTAGGACCAATAGTCTTTGATTCTAGGTATATAGTTTGGCAATTTCATTTGGGCAAATACTTTTCCCATGTAATCCTTTAATTTCATTAAGCTGTAAAAATTATAGTTTATAGGTTGTTTATTCTGAGTAAAGATGAGTTCTCATGCCATGCATGATCTAAGGCTTTGTACGTCACAGTAATTTGGATCTGACGGGCAAAATCTGGAGTTATTGAAGTCACTGCTTACCGCTCAATGGGTTATTGAGTGGTCAAGTCACGCTCTCTCAATTAATTTAAAGTGAATTTTGTGGTCAAAGTCGTCTCTCTGAATTATTAGAAAGTGAATTTTATTCATTCGCAGCTCCAGTCATGAAGTGTTTGCTTGAGTGATCAATATCTGTTTTTTATATTTAGTTGCGTCCTTAAAGTTAATATACTAACAATTATATTCGTGGTGGAAGTAGTGGCGGTATGGAGGTGGAGGTAGAGGTGGTGGTGGTGGTGGGGTGGAGGTGGAGTTGGCGATGACAGTGGTGGTGGTGGCAATTTTCCACTTTTTAAGCGGCAAATATGTTTTGTCTGAATAAGTTTGTTTTTCATTAATTATGAAAAATATTTTCTGCTAAACAAGCTTATTTTCAATTGTATCGAACACCCAACAATAAGAAAAATATTACAACGAATTGACTTGAAGATAACTCCTAAAATAAGTGGGCAGAATTGATTGGGGTGCAAGGAAACAGACCAGACTAGAAGAAGATAAACAAGATCAGCCTAATGCAATAACAAAGAGTATGTCACTGTGAAAGTGAGAGTCAAATAGTAGGAAATGTATTCTTCATTGAAACTTTTGTGGTCTGTGTAGATAGAGAGGCAGGACATAAATTCACGTGTTTTGGAATTTAATAACAATAAACAAGAAGGTATGACTGTTGACAAAGAATGAAACTTCAACAGGGAATAATGGAAGGGGATATAGCCACTGCCAGAGAGGGCGGCCTAGTTGGGGTTGGTATTTTTACAGATTGAATGATTCTTGATGTTCTTGCTTTCTGACCCTGGAAAATATTGGTCTCTCAAACTTTTAAGAGCCACCCACATGCCTGGTTGACCACCCTAGTCTGGAACTGTCCAAATCTGACAAAATTCCAATCCTTTTGAATCTTATTCTTGTTCATACATTCTCATTTTTGTATTTGATTCAAACACTGACATCCTTCATTTTAAATAGATATATTATGCTTTAAATGAAAGTATATTCTATTATTCAAACCAATCACAAGATGTGTTTTATTTACACAAGTTTGTGAAGAAAACAATTTTCACCACCTTTCTATGAGTTCGATTTTGTTCACACAATTTGTAATTGATCAAAATCAGTGAAGTCCACAACTTTAGATGAAGTCAACGCACTCTTATTTTAAATTAATCACAAATTGCATTTTGTTTACACACTCATACATTTTAGTTTGAAAGTCATAATATCATCTTCTTTTTTTTATCTATATGACTAACAAACTATTGAAGAAAATGGAATTAAAATGTTGTATGAATTAAAACTTTAAAAGAGCTAAATGCAGTTATGTTAAAAGTGTAAGATTATTGTATTCTCTTCAAATATTGTTGGCTACATATTTTGTGCAAGCCAGTTATAATTCAACGCGTGGCAAAGTAAGGGTAATATGGGGAGACCATTCAAGTCTTCGATCCTGATCGTACACGTGGCAGTTAATATTGGTTGTTATGAGATCTGAGTAGCAGTGGATCAACAAAGAGATGCAAGATGACGTGGCTTCAACGGTTACTCACATTCAAATTCAAATATAGGAGGGAAGCCTAACTGCAAGTGATGGCGTAGTGGAATTACTTATAAGGCAGCATGATCAGCGACTACGGAGGAGCAGTTTGACGGTTTGAAGTGCAATTCGATGGTCATCTTTGAGGAGTATAAATAGCAGGGAAGACCCCAGAGAAAGCCCCCAGACTCAGATCCAAGAAACCAGTCTTACTTTACATATTTCGTTCTAGTTTTTATATTTCATGTTCTTTACATTCCTGTACTTTAAATTCCTGCACTGCACTTCATTCATAGGAGTAGTTTTAAATAGATTGTCGCTGTAAACCTCTACGAGGCAGAGTTTGGATCATTGTAAGTTTTTTATACTAATGAAATGCTTCAATTGCTCTTTATTTAACTGTTCTTGTGCTTAAATTCTCCTAAATCAAGCTACCAGTAAAAGTCCTCTTCATTGAAGCTGAAAGAACGACAACACAATCGTTTGATAATTGGTTGGCAATCAAAATTCTGTAAGGACTGATTGATCCTTGCTGGCACGCTCATAATTACAAAAATAACCTTCAAAAGCCAAAAAGCCAACATTTATTTTTGGCACGCCCAGTGGGACCCATTTAAAATGGCTAGACGTAGGAGACAAGGAGAAAATGAACGCTTAGAAGAAGGCGTGGAAGGAGAGGTAGAGATACCTAATCCAGAGGATAATGTGATAACACATCCTGTGAAAACTCCTATTTTATCGGAACCTATGGTCGAACAGACCAGTACTTCAGAGCAAATACCATTTGTTCGTAATATTGGACGAGACCAAGGAATTGGACCATCCACTGTCCCCATCTACTCAGCCAGTGAATCCATGGGGTGGCCTAGTAGATGCCATGGGACAGCAATTAATAAACACAATGGAAAGGTGGGCAACATCCTTTTTTGATCGAATGAATAACCACCAACCAACAAATGCAAGACACATGGAGGAAGTAAATGTCTCTTAGCAAAGATTGGCTAGGGATAAACAGCCTATGCAAGTTAATGGACATTTTAATGGTCAAACTAGTAATCAGAGTCATGAAAGACCGCCACCTCAGTCTTGGTACGAACCCATTTCGAGGCCTATAGTAGGCCAAAATGCCTCAATGTTCAACAGTAAAGCCATGCAAGTTGGTGGATCTGGCCCAGTACAAGAAAATGGCATAAGAATGGTTCCAAATCCCACATTCGAAGCCATACCTGGCACTAGGGGGTACAATAATCCCATATTCGAATTTATACTCGGAGGGTTGGAAGGTTTTCCCACAAATGGAAGGGATACAACACCTGTTCCAGCACCTTTCGTAGGTCCCTTCGTAGGGCAGGCTCAAAGAGGTTACCCACACCCTCAACAGCAACCTGTACCACAGGGACAACCAGTCCCAAATGTACCACCCTATGGACCAAGGGGACCACAAGCGCAAGTTTGTCCACCAAATACTGTGTTTGTTTTCTAGTAGTGGTTCAAGTGGTTCAGTAGGCACAAAATATGGTCCCTAGGGACCAAATTACTGAGATAGTTAGGGAGATGTGTGGACCAATGGCTCGGGGGGTCCAAACTCCTGTGTACAGAAAACCATACCCAGAATAGGTTGACAGGGTACATGAGTACCCAAGGGGTTTCAGGATACCAGATTTTGTCCTTTTTTATAGAAACAGAAACCAATCAACAGTAGAGCATATTGCTAGGTTTGCTGCTCAATGTGGTGAATTTACCAATCATGACTATATGAAGTTGAGACTATTCGCAAACTCTCTAACTGGGGGAGCATTTGTATGGTACATTAACCTTCCACCTGGCTCTATCCAGACTTGGCAACAAATGGAAGAGGCATTTCATGCCCAATTCTTCCAATCAGAGCCAGAAGTTTCCATGGCAGACTTGGCAAGATTGAGTCAAAGGCCTGAAGAGAAGGCTACTCAGTTTATTGCCAGATTTAAAAGGGCTCAAAATAAATGTAGAGTAATCTTGCTAGAGCCAGAATTCGTAAGATTGGCCCAAAATGGCTTAGAGTTCAGGCTTCGAAAGAAGTTTGACTCAACAGAGTTCAGGGACTTAGTGGAACTGACTTACAAAGTATCTAGATATGAAGCATTACTAGAAGAGGAACAAGATCGAAATAATGCATCATATAGGACATACTACAAAGATCCTAATTATGAGATTGATGCAGCAGAGATTGTGGGAAAAGAGCCTATGATCTGTGAAGCATTAATCCATAAAGATACAACAATTGACCAGCAGTTTAAAAAGAAAGACCTTCACAGGAAATACTCTTTCGATTTAGGGAGACGGAGGAAATTAATGCAGATCCTTAACCTTTCATAGCCTGCGCAGACTTCGCAGAAGCCAAGTTGTATATTGAGGGAGTGACACCACTCAGTATACTGATGAAATCTGATGGCTCAGCCGAAGTAACGGCTGATGAGGAAGTGACACACCTGAAGCACTTAGTCCAGGAGAGTGCTGATGAAATTTGCTAACAATATGAGACAGGATCCAAGAACAAATTCGGAAAGGGAGTTTGAAATTCCCAGCCAAAGCTGAAAAGGCCATGGGGATCGACAGTAATCCATTTCCAGAAATTGGAGAGGTGGCAGCCAATTTCATTATGCCAGATTTTCAGAACCTGTCTTTGAAAGAATTGAAAGAAGTCAATGTACAGATGCATATGGCCAACCAGACAGCAAAAGACACTAGAAATCTACCAGCTATTGGACAAGATTTCTTACACCAGAGGGGAGACTCTGATGAAGAAGCACTGGATGATGACTCCATAGAGGCAGCCGTAATGCAGAGGATGTGTCCAATGTGCAGACTGAGTTATAAGTGGTTGAAAGGCCTTCCAGTCGATGGGAAGCAATATTACAGGGAAATGCAGAGGCATCCCAAACCAACCAATGCTTATAATAAAAGGCCGTATCCGGCTGAGGTTAGGCAGCAGCCATTAGTGGTTGAGCCTGCAGTTGATAGAATACATGCTAAAGGGAAGAGGCCCTTATATGAGTCCAGGACACCTAACTATTACAGAATGGAGAGTAGTCATTCTGAAATAAGACTGGAGAAGAGTTCAGGTTTTAGGATCAAAGCCAGAGATTGGCTCCCTAGACCAGCCCCACGGAGGATAGAAAATGATCACCT